GGTATAAATAAAATATCCATGTGTATTTCCTCAACTACAATTGATATCGTATCTAACCAAAATGATGAATGCCACCGACATCGCCTAACTTATAATCGATCAGTTATTACGCTTTATGTCTGTCTTTTCGATCGTGTACTCTTTCTCTATCTGTCGATTTCACCGTGGGTCGATTTGCATTTCCAACCGCGAATTTACCTGTTAAGATTGAAGACGCAGCGAAAGTGAAATCTCCCCAATGCAACAAGCATGGCGAGATACCACACGCATCTAATCCTAAACGCGATTTGTTTAACTTGTAAATTACAGTGTTATCCGAGCGACCGGACAATGAAAGTTACTTAAAGAAAGAAAAGCAACTATTCGATAACGCAAATGTTTACGATTAATTACTTGTGTATATACTACAAACTGGTGATTTAAAAAATAATGATTTTGAGGTTAGAAAAATGAAAACATTGAGTAAAAATAAATATCATTAGAATAGAACATTTTATATAATGTTTTTGTTAGTTAAATTTCATCACGTAAGAGGATACTATTTATTTAGCAAACTTCGAAATTACTCATCAAAACTATTCACGCAATGTCATTTACGTAAAGCAAAATTTTTTTCGAAGGTCACTACAAAAAAAAGGAACAAGCTGTAGTTGTATAAATGTTTAACTTTTACTCTACGTTTGAGCAAATTCACTGTTATTCGGCGAACAATGAATATTTATTGCGATGAATATTTAAATTATCGCGCGTAATTATTTTGAATATAGTATAGTGAAGAAGATGAGAAGTTGTACAAAACATTTTCTTATTAAACAGAACAGAAAAAGAAATTTTTAAATATATCGAATATAATACAACATATAAGAATGAAGAAGGTATTCTTCGTAGAATACGGCACAAAATTTGAAATATTGTAAAGAAAAGTAAAAAAATAGCCACGTGCATTTTATCTAAAATATAATATGTACTTGGTGCAACCCTCTAGAGTCTAGACGTTCGATCGCGACTGTTCGCCAAGTCTACACCAGACTTAAAAGTGAATGGGGAATAAAAATAGAACTAAATAGTTACACCAAAGTTAACCACAGTCAACTTGCCTCTGAAAAAAGTTTGAATTTCTACTTTATTATCTATTGGTTGTAATCTAGGGGAAGATCTAGTGAATAATAATAGGAACATAGACACTTGGACACTTTTATTCATAAAAAATCCTAACAAACACATATATATCATTGAACAAAATAGCTAAATTGGATTTATTTGTATAGTATGGCGATTTAAGCTATAATTCGGTTAATAGGTTAATAAATAAAATTATGTACCAAATGATCTGAAAGGTTATACATCTATGTTAATGGAAAAAATAATCAAAATAGATCTCTAATCGAGAATTAATAATCTTAGTGTGACAGTTACGTGATTCATTCTATATAATCAAATATATACACATAACTTATTATAACTATTTTGATCGGCACGCTGTTCCAGTCCGCACTAACGAACCTCCCAGAACATAACCAAAAACATCTTAAATCTTCTCTTTCGTATTTAACCACCATTTATCCCTTCGAAAAAATTACTCACCGTCTTTTTTTTAAATTATCACGAGACTCATGTCAGGAATTTGAACACCAGTGGTGGTTTCGCGTCAAGGACCTCGCAGACATACGAACATCATCGTCGTTGTCGAATCTTCGCCGTTTCGTCGGTTATTCCGCAGTTAATAAGTCCCAAATTTAACAAAGGAACTCACGTAATATGTATGCCATGCACATCTGATTAATCTTTAAATATATAACATAGATAGGAGACACTGTACACGATTCATTAATGTATTTCGAGGAAAACACGACAAAAGCTGTTTTAGGTTTCTCGAGTGTGGACGGTGCAGGCGCCGGTCGGCCGCCATCATAGAAATCAATACAACTGCTAACTAAGGGGAGCTCACGTCGTATTGTATGGGATATTAGGATGAACGTAGGATATCGTTTGGTTACAATGGATTCTGAAAAACCATATTCTGATGAATATGTTAGAACAATCAAATATGTACAATAGAACTTCGATTGTTGTACAAAACAGGATTGAAGAAATATCTAGATATCGAGGTTCATGCAATAAAGGAAGTGACCAATCGAATGGTTCACAGTTACAGTCCACTGTATACTTCTTATTAGTTCTTATGGTGTAAGCTCTTCATTTGTATATTCGTAATCAATTGTAACCAATATGGATATAAGATATTAACCCTTACTATGTATTACCACATGGATGCATAGAACGAAATTTTCGTACAAATGATTACTGCAGATTCTTATGAAAGTAGTTCAGTGTTTCGGATACATTTGATATTTACAATATGCATAGCCGTTTTATTGTTCATGTGCATTTAATGCTATAGAATATTCAATGAAATATATGTGTATGTATGTACAGTTTCGTTTAAATCCAGAATCCGACGCAGATGAGTTGCGCTCCTCATCGTTCCTTGATTGTGTCATTGGAGTTAAAATAAATTCGTTTAGGATTAGTTTTTGAATGAATTTACGAAGTGATGATGTCAACGAAGTGACGTATCTATTTATTCTTTGGACTTTGGACTCTGGGCTGGATTTTGTATTTACTGGTACTGTTGTCCTCCTTTGTATAATTATATTTATGTTATAATAGTAATTTTGAATAAGTATTTTACACACTTTCTTAGTTTCTTTATTTATTTCGTATATTATAATGGGTTTTATAAATTTTTCAAACTAATGTAATCTTTAATACGCTTCATGCCGCCTATAAGTATACACCACCGATAATATTCTTGTTTTAAATTATATAATACATATTATCATAATGTGTGCAACTAGTGGTACACGCTGAGTAGAAATTCGCGTGAAAGTATTGTACGGAACGTATTTGTAATTGTTTTTAAATTAATTGAATTATACAAAATTATACGTTAGTAATTACTCTGAATCTATTCTTACATGTATATTATAAACAACTATTATATGTATTTGGAGGACTACGTACAAACAGCTAATCTAATATTAAAATGTCAGTGATAACAATTTACCGATTTTGCTATAATAAAAAGATTAAGTAATCGATTAATAAAGAAAGATGGATAACAATATTTTAGACACAGTAATTTATTTATCCATATATCTCTTATGTTTTTTATACATTGTTACATATTATCATTCATATTTGTAAAGTTTGATGTTAGCTAATTCCTAACCTTTAACCTTATCTAAACATAAATTTTCTAATTTGAAACTTTAAAAAATTAACACATTTATGAGGTAAAATTATGTAATTAGTGAATTCTAAAGAATTATTATTAAATTTAACCTCATTAATAATACTCTTCTTGTATTCGAATCCATATATAATTTATTTAAAGTTCGTGCTGCATAATAAAAATTGTGCCGATTCGATAAATCAGCTCACATAGAAACAGAAAGTTATCTACGTTTATCGTATCACGTAAGCTTGATGGATATAGAAAATACATATTATGACGTCAAAGAACGAAGGTAAAGAAATCACATTTGACAAATAATTGTTCTCAAATATGTATTCACTCGTAAAAATTAATTAAGGCACATCCGCTTCCTGATTGGTCGTCCTTTAGACCTCGCTTTTTTCTATTTCGGCTCTGATTGGTTGTTCGAACTCGACACGATTTCTACGATAATTGGCACATTCCAGAGAACACCATGCTTTTTATTCCGCGGGAAACTATGTGGCAAGAAGTTTACTGTATGACAGTTTAAAAATCAGGAAACACAATGGCAGTCATAACATCAGGAAAAAAGCTGATAGGTACTTTTATTTCTTATAGACTTAAATAAAAATTACAGAATTAATTATTTTTGAATGTAAAGGTTTAAACATTAAGGACATTTTAGATTTCAAGCTTTCGCGATGATAACTTGCACTTGTAATTGCACTTTGCGTCGACATTTCATAGACATAACAGTCTACTTCTTCAGGACAGACCTCTTCAGGTGCAAGTGTAAAATAGACATGATTGTTCTCACGAAACCAATAACATGACATGAGGAACATGTTGTTAATTTTCAGTTAACCCATTAACGATCAAACAGTGAAATAATGTATAAAAGTTAGGTTAATACAATATTACTGAAAAGTGTAAATGGTTTATGCATTGTTAATATGTAGAATAATGAATACTCTACAGAAGCCCACTGCATGAATAAAAGATACAAAAAGAAATTCCCATGATTAAAAAAAGAATAGTGTATCATATTATCATAAATATTTAAATAGTATCTCGATGGAAGAAAAAATAGTTATGGAAAAGATATCAAGGAGAAAAAGGATTATAAATGAAATGAGTTAGACGATTACACAAAATAAAATAATTCAAGTATTGAAAGGTTAGAATGTTAAAAAGTGATTCAGATCGATAGAAGTCGGATTTACATGCAACAAGAGGAGCTAGCATTTCACACAAAGGTAAATTAGGGATTATATTACGCTTTCTCGAACTATACATACGTAAAAGCTTACCGTATACTGATAGCTATATTGTATACAGTTATATTAGATGTCCCTAATGAGATTCTGTTCTTGTCCGATTGAATTGTATTCCGTTGAGTTTCCGTTCCGATTGAATTGCAACATCTTGCTAACAAAAGGAGTTCCTTTGAAAAGATAGACATATAAATTTAAAAGTTCGAAAATTTACAACATTGAAAACTCAATGAATTATTCTAGCTGACTGCGCTGAATGATGTACCTCATATGTAATTCACCATTTTTCTTAAGTTATAATTAACGATACTCGCGTAAGAAGAACATAATCTAACTAACTAAATTGTTGTCTTGAAAACCGACCCGTCATTAAAATAAAGTACACATATACAATATATGTACCTTAAATGTGTACAATAAAATGAAAATAAGTTTTATTAAAGATAGTTTTATTAAAGATAGAAAATTTATGTGTTATTTTAATTAGTGGATTGTGAGCAATTTATGTTTATAATTAAGGAAGAATATAAATTTTTATTAGAGAGCAACGATAACATTGCATCTGTGTTAGAGAAAGTGCTCGCGAATCTACAGCATGTCCCGCTCCGTGATTTGTGCATATGTCAGAGAAATTACATAGCAACGATGTTGAAAGATATTTCACATTAATATTATTCCAGTAGCACACATTTAACATTTCTTGATTATTTAAGTTTTCATAAGCTATTATTAGCCTTTTTTTATAATATATCAAATAATATGTTAAATTGAACTAAGATTATTTAAAATAAAAGGTTTATAGACTTATGTATGCAAGGTTTCGAATTTTCAAATTTAAAAATTGCTTAACTTTCAAATGTTCAAAGTTCTAAGCCTTATTACTTCTAAATTTACATTGTTTAAGATTACAGAAAGAAAACACGCCTCTCCAACGAAAGTTTCTCAAGTATACCACGTAGCTTCTTAACTTTTTCTGGCAATAATCGCGCAAACCTTACATGGCCCTGGAACAGACTCATTTCCTTATAGCTGAAACAATATATTCTGTTACATCGACATCTTACAGAATGTTACAAAACGCCGAAGCATTCAAGCATAAAAGAAATGCTGCATTCTCCATAATTAATAGCGACAGCGAGGCGCACGAAAACATTCTTAAATTATCGCTAGAACGGATAGGAAACTATAGTAGCTGTCTTTTTGCGAGCAACGAGATTTCACCACAGGCGCGTTACCGATAAACCAATGCAACTTCTGGCTACGAGCACTAGGTATGTATAAAAATATCGACGCCAGCTGACGGCGTTGATATTTCCATGAGAATGAAAAATATAGAAGCGTGTATAGGTGTTTAAACGTGTGACTTTTATGTTTGAGGAGAGAAGCGTAAATGGGACAAGCTCAACGGTCACACAACCGTGACTTTCTAGCTATGTTGCGTCGTTGAGGCTTTTTGTCGTGTATCCAGTCGCTGTTTGTGCTTCCGCCTACACCGTTGCTTGAAATGTGTTTTCTAGGGGAAATTGAGTAAATATATTGTTTGGTGCGAATTTGTTTTACGCAACTATTTAGATTAACGTGATATGTTTTAGAAAACTTGTATATATAATTTTGGAGCGGTTGTTGTCATTCAAATTAGTTGATACTTCTAAGAATTCTATATTCATAAATTTGGTTTGAACATAGAAAATTTTTATTATTACAAATGCTATATTTATATTTGTAGGTTTGTATGGAATTAAATTTTAGATATATAATGTGACGACTATGTAAATGTTCTAAATTGTATCTGAATTATTATATGGATATTTTAAATTGTGTAAATTTATGCAAAAGTGTTAACTAATTTAAATTTTTAAATTAGTAGATCCCAAAATAAAATATTATTCTTGCAGTTAACGGAAGAATCGATTCAAGATGGTTCACGCTGACTGTCTCGTTCCACTAACTCACAATCAATTTGATTGGATTTCTTCAATTGAAGTCACTTAACGCTTAAGGTAATAAACTCTTGATTACCTACGTCGTTTGTACGTGGTAGATACGAGAAAGCGCAGTTCCGATGCAAGGTTTATAAATCTTATAGCTAATGTTTATAACTTAAAAAAAGACAAAGATCTCTATTCTTTTTAAATGAATTTCGATGTATTGAATGGTGAAGTTGTTTACAAATTTACTACAAACTTATTCGTTTAAATTTACCTTCAATACGATTGACATTATTCTCAACAATTTGATATAAGTGAGAAAATAATTTATCAGATACTGCACGATAATGATCCGCATACATAGTAACTAAGTATGGGATAGTTATTAAAAATTTGGATCCGAATCGATACGGATTTATATACATGCGATACAGCTTTATTATTAGATCAATGGCTATTCCAATTGGTTAAAAAACTGGAAAATAATAAAGTTTAATTACTCAAAATCGATAGGAAGGATAATAATTGTGGAGCGAATGACTTAATATTATGCTATCTGTGAAGGTTCCAGAGAAAGAGAGCTTTTAACATCAATCAACATATAATGTTCCCTAGAGGTATGCGGAAGTGACCAATGATTTTCGTTTGTCAACGATAGTTGTTCACGTCGCGAAACACGACTTTCAAATAGTTTCTAGGAAATTATATGTATATTATGTTCCTTTTATGTAGGTTATCGACTCCCTTGCTGTTAAGTATAATTTTCTATATAGACGATGGTTTTTGCTTTGTAATTTTTTATGGCCACGGATTATTTTCTTGTATGAAATTTAATATAAATCGTTTCGCTATTCCAAAAATTTGATTATTCGATTGTCTCGAATCTGCGTTATTTCGAATATTCGAAATATGTAATGCTTCATTATCTAAATTTTTATTAATAACACTATGGGTATAATTTCGGAATTATTTAAGTATATTAAATATTATTAAATAATACTATTTATCTATACATCTTTATAAAAAATCATTACCATTACTTTGTGCAATTGCTACTATACTTTTCACAAATTTTCACTATGTTTTTATCTCTACGAGATACTAATATTAAGTTAAATTACAGAGATCATGTAATTGACTGGAATACATCGTTTAAGCTTAGTTTACATCCAAACGGTAGATCAAGTTAAATCGAACCACGGAAAGAAATCAGGGAAAAGTGGACGAGAGGAAGACTCATCGAGGTCGCTGATCGAGGTCAAGTTTTAGACTACTGTAATGTCTAATCGTGATGCATGTGGATGCTGGTGTCGTTGCCTTGCAAATATCATATCCTGGAGAAGGGGAAATTCCATGGAGAAGTTAGAATATCGGAATCTCGGGCTCTTCTTTGACTCTTTGAATTTTTCAATCTTTCAAATTTCCAAATTTTCGAATTTTCAAAATTTCAAATTTCTGAATTCTTAAACTTTCAAATTTTCAATTTCTCAATTTTTAACTTTTCGAATTTTTTAATTTCTAAAATTAAAAATCATTAGCTCATCAAATAAAATATGCATTACCCTATTCGTTAACATTAAGTTCCCATAGTCTCCAAAACTTCTAAAACATTCATCTTCAACAAAAATTTCTAAAACTCAGTATTTTTAATGTGACCTAACATTAATGTGTGATCGGTGTGTATGATAATAACGATTATGCAAACTTTACATGTTCCTGCATTGCGAAGTCATATTTTATACTACTGTAAAGTCTAGTACCGTTGTCTTCTTATAGCAGTCAGTTTCTGGGGAAGTGGGAATTCCAGAGAGAAGTCGAGAGATTGGAATCTCGGGCTCTCTTCTGACGTCTGTTTAGCAGTACCACTCACTCTCTCTTCTTTTTTCTTTTCCTTCTCTTGGCTATGCTGGTATACATATATTTAATGTCTTATCTGAGCTTAAAGGCAAGTTGTTCGATTCAGTAACCTGTCTGCAACAACATTCTAGATTACCACTGGGAACTCCCCTGATCTAATTTCGTTTAGGCTTATGAACAACTTATTGAGACTTACGGAAATGTAGAAAGGTATTTTAATGGGATATGGGCATCTTGAATGATGGATTGAGTTTTTATATTGCCTGAACGGAATTGAAATTATGTGAAGGAGAGTTATTAATCCATATATTAATTAAACAATTTAAAAAAATGAATAAAATTGTTACAAAGAGAATAATGTCTTTTTGACAAAATTGGTAAATTTTGATTTATATATCGAAGAGATTTGAATTTTATTTGATTTGGCTTAATGAATTTTGTGGATTAAAAGAATTCTTCTTTATTTGTATAATGTCGAATTTTATTATTTGTTAATATAATCAATTACTTACATTCTCTATCGTTGAAAAGAGAATTACTATAATTCAATCGCAATCAGTAAACTAATACGTAAATTTTCATTGTTTGATTTATACAAACAATGAAATTATGTAATATTAGATATGGAGTTAGATATGGAGTTTATCTTTATTTATCAATCAATTTATCGATTTAGAGGTTTATAGATAATAAATAAGAAGTAACTTATATATGTACTAGCATGAATATATTTGACAATAATAAATTAATTGTGATTTCTTCCTGGCTGTATTCTTAATAAATCTTAAATAAATGAAAAAATTTTTTAAATTTCACATTTTTTTGCAGACAATTCTTAATTGCGCCATCACTGCCCTCTATGATTGTGTACTCTAATCAGACACCATAGGCATAAAACCATATGCATATGCGTCGATAAATAGGAATAAAATTGAAAAATCCGTTAATTCAGTCTTCTTCATCTATGCATTTAATTAGAGACGAAGTATATACAATGACACACGAAATAATTTACACATATAAATGCTTTATATAAATATATGTATTATATGTGTCATATGAAATATTATGAAATTTCATTAGCGCTCTAATTGAGATCTTACTATGTTGCTATGTTAAAGACTTGTCATGTTTATGATATTATTATGTATGTACCATTCATTCTATTATTCTTTTCTAGTTTTAATAGAACTTGTATACAAATCTGTTGAAACACCCTGTATGTATAAGAAGAAATAACGTGTGACAGCGCTTCTAGTACACGTCACTACAAGATTCACATCACATACATATGTAGAATTGTCACAATATCTCGCTTAAGCATGATCATACAAATCCGTCCTTTGATCTGACCTCCGCTGTGTCTACATCTAGGCACGAACTTGTTCGAAAGCCATAGTGATAAATTCACGAAGGTAGATCTCGGATGATTACAACCTTTCATCTTTCCATCTTTATCTTTCTCCCTTTTTCTTTTTAACGGCGTTACAAAATAGTTTCGTAAAACAAATTTTCATATCAAAAAACAGTGGCGCTCAAGTCACTTGATAAATTTGGAAATCCATAAGTATCAATTGCTAAATTAAAATGAGATAAAGAAAAAATGAAGAAAAGATAAGATAAAAGAAAGTTGATACTGTGGTCGCCTATTTTCTTATGGAATTTTTTGCTCTTTTGTAAAAATCTTGCTTTTATATCAGTACAATGTCTAATCTAATCGTTATTGTATCAATACCTAAAGTCACAAAGAAGCTTTATACTAAGTTTTTAAGAAGCTCAACAAAAGGTGTTGTGACTATCACAAAATTTTTACGTAGAAAATAATTGACCTAAACTTAACTTAATCTAACAAAGTACATTATTGGCATCTTAAGCATCCATACTTTGTAAACACCCGATCGCTCATCTGAACAAATAGACGTTCCAAAAATCGAGATTTGCGGCAGCTAAAACCCGTTTTATTGGATTCCTCCACTCTTAAGCTTTTTACTAATATACCATAACCTTAATGAATATTGTCCCAAATACATACTATAGTAGTGATCAATGAATTTATTCTCTTATTCCAGAATTTTTGTATAAAATAATGATAGAAAAGAATGAAGTAATTATAATCATTAATAAAAATATAATATATAATTACAGTTCTATAATCACAATTCTTTTTAGAATGACTTTCCGAATGAAGAATCTCAAGAGAATTCATATCTTTTTTTTTATAAGAGAAAAGTTTCATTAAATAAAATAGATTATCCTGAAAAAATGGATCATGTTAATTCGATATTTTAGGAAGCAATTATTTAGGAACAATATTACTGCGTTTAACAACATGACGGTGACTGTATAACCTTTTTCGCAGGATCGTTGCGCAACTACAAAAAAAGGTAATAACTACTGCATTGTACTGAAGATATTCGACAGCATTTGCAATTGAAATAGATTGCGTGTAACTGCCATTGTAATAGGTTAATTGGAACGCGTCGTAACTGGTAAGATGACTGATCAAAATGCATCGGCAGTTGTCGAAATCTTAGGATGAAGAACACGATCCTAACAGTACTTTTTTATTCATGTCTGAAACTTTTCGCGGAAGTGCGTTCTAGTGCAAGGTATTATAACTAAAAAAAGCCCATTGTCTCTCACTAAAATATTAATCAAAAAGTAATAAGTTTGCAACTTTCGAAATATATTTTGCTTCATCGTACTTGCAATTTAAAAATATTTTAAAGAAACTTTTCGTTACATACAATATTTTTTTCACGTTTACTAGTTTTCACATTTTGTATATTCTTTCGTATACCTTCTTCTGTATATTTTCCAAAATATTGTAAATATTTGTATAAATTCTTTTATAATTTTACCTTCTATCTTTTATCATTTTTTCATAGCTTCTTGACCGATGACGCGAAAAACACCACATTAAAATCGAGGATAGTTCTACCGGAGTATTACGTGAAAGGTTAGTCAACAATTCAATGAAATATCTTTTCCTTGAATAATATATTACAAAAATGCATTCCACATACGTATATATATATACAAATACTATACTATATATATATACAAACGAACCATTAGCTTATATCACGATTATACGTATACATAGTATTAGAATTGTAAATTTGTTTGAAAGTATCATGTGTACGTATAGTGAGTAGTGAAACTATTTGTATTCTGTTGGTACTTATTTTGATATTTCCGTACTTATGTAATTGTAACATACACTGATTAAGTAGGCCTAAATATATGTTTCCTACTAACCTAAACGTACTTTTATGCAATTACAAAAATCTGGTGTCGTGGAAATGAAATGCAGACCTGAATCAAAGTACGTTTCATTGAAAGACATGGGTATGTGTGAATACTTTTTAGATATAATAGCCACTATCCAAGGTGTCCCATTTTGATTATTAAAGATCATATTTTTTGAAAAGTTATTTTGGTCACGCTAAATAGGGCACCTTGTATATGCGCGGTTTGTATGATTGTACGTGTAATTGTACGCTAATTAACATGGGTTAAATGCGAAAAAACAACGCAGAGATCAGGCCTCCATCGAAGCAAGGTTTTCCAGTGGTAGTGGACTTCAATATCTTTGTAGCTGATATCAATTCAATAAATGTAGAGGATATGGATTTCCGGTGAGTGGAGATGGTATGTTAATGAGATCATGCTACTGATTGATATGCACATGTTTTGCACGCTAAAGTATATTAAAAAATGTGTAAATAATATTTCACTAGATAGATTCGACCTATTTTAATTGATTTCGTTTTACTAAATATAATTTACTACCATAGCACTAATAACCCTATACATATTACTTAGGTAGTAAGCTTTTTTGACTTGCGGTCCTTTTTTATAATAGACAAATTAAATAATAAATAACCATGCTTTACTCCTACATAATAAATATTTTTATGTTGGAAATATAATATTGTATAATACATATATTGAATAATTTCCAATCGATATATTATCTATTTGTGTTTTACTATTTCAAATAATTACATGTTACGTATTCAACAGTTGTCACAGAAATAATAGAATTACATCAAATAGGGTAGACATGTTCGTTCGTCAGAGTTGGATCGAATCTCGACTTGATATGCCGGACGAGATTTTCGAGGAGGGCGACGATTACGTGACACTGCCTCCTGAATTCTTCGACAGTTTATGGCAGCCAGATCTTTACTTCTTAAACGCGAAAGTCTCTGGTAATTTTTGTCATAAATGCTATATATATGGATCATATAAGGATATGAGCAAATAATGTTAGATTAAAATTTCTAAAACGTTACTAACTGCACCTATAGACAATAACATTGCACTTCCAGTTCTACTACAAATGAAAGTTCACAATATTATAAAATTGAAAGGAATAAGACTGATATTTGATACAATGTAGCACAAGGATGATAAATGAACAACTATTTCCTATCTATATTGACTAAACTTTCTAATACTCTGTTGAAGTCTTTTATTAATCATTTATTATATCTTATCTAATAATAAGTATTCATATTGTATCTGGCATTCGTCGAAAAACCGATAACGATCTACCTGATATGGATATTATACGCGTTAATGATCCGTAAAATTCTGAATAACCTTGAAGTAGCCTTGAAATGATCTTCAAGTAATCTAAATGTACTTTCATAATGACTTTAATATGTTTTTGTCCAAAACATGTTTGATCTTACAATAGTCTTGAGGTGACCATGAAACTTTGTAATAACTTTGAAGTATCTAATAATGAATTAAAATCATTTTCTTTTTCAGAAATTGCGGCGTTAAATCACAAATTCTCATCTGTTACGTTGTATAGAAACAAAACGGTCAAGTATTCAGCACGGATGCATGCCATCATCGCCTGCCAAATGGAATTTCAACTCTACCCAATGGACATTCAAATATGCCCTATCTACATAGAAAGTTGTAAGTTCAATAACGGAACAAGACTTGCTAACAGGATATGTCACATTCCTGCATTTTTATTATTTTTTTCAATTAATCATTCTTCGCTTTAATCATACTTAGTTAGACTGTTCTTTTAATTGTAACGATAAAAATAAAAATTTACATGAATATCCGCGGTTTAATCATATTGCCGAAACATGTGGAAAATTGTTACTGGCAAGTTTCGTCATATCTCTAAAAATAACACAAATGATGTGAATGTGGATGAATAAATTTATTGGTACACCTTGTATGCAGCTTTAGACTGTAGAACGTCACAGAAGTCTTGCAGCAGTTAGCGATAGATCATTGTCGAAACAAATTATTGCAATTTATATTTAAAATTTCAATGGAGAATGGAACAGAATGGAATCATTTAAGATCTATTGCATAGTCATTTAAGATCTAGTGCGTATATACACTGTTGAACTGATGATGTAGAAACACCTGCTTCTTAATTCAATCTTCTTATTAATATGCCACGCTTCTTTATATTTATATTCATTACCAATTAATCCCTTAAAACTTTGTTTAATTTTATTATTTAAACACGCATTGTTTAATTTCATTAATTTTATTTTATTATTTATTATTTGGTATCAACAAATAGTCAATTGTATAAGTTCATATTTAAATATTAAATTATTAAAATGAGAATGTTCAAATATTCAAATCTTAAATATTGAAACGATCTTGTAATCTCATACTGTGGGCTCTTGTAATATTCTAATCCATTTCTATCCGACCACCATCTATTTCTATAATCCCAAAACTCAACATATTCACTACTTTAACTTGGAAAACTGCATTACTCGCGATAGTTTCCTATCACAAACAGAAGTTACGCTTAAGATGGGGATTGGGCGCAGTCACGGTGAACCCAGAACTGAAGCTTTTACAATATGATATCGGGAAGCCGGTGGTCGCTGAAGAAACTGTTGATTATATGCTCGAAAAAAGTGGTACGATTTTTGTTTCGATGTAGAACGATGATATCCAGACATATATATATATATATTTCATATTATATATTTCATATATATTATAATTTACAGGAAATTTTTCACGACTGGTAGTGTTCTTCCGATTCGAGAGGCAAATTGGTCATCATCTGATACAAACTTTCGCACCATCCACGTTGGTTGTGATGTTATCTTGGTTTAGCTTCTGGTTGGGCTTAGATGCGATCCCTGGTCGTGTGGCTCTTTTAGTAACCAGTATGCTGACCTTGGTTACTATGTTTACTGGTCTGAAAAGCGATATTCCGCCAGTTGCTTACGTGAAAGTAGGTTTCAATATAATTCAAAGAGTATTACCACTAATCGTTCAACCGTATAATTCTTCTTATTCCTTCTTTACACTTGTTCTCTTTTTTCTAGAGGGGGATACTTTATATTCATAGAAGCATACAAAAATTCTCATTGACCATCTCAGAAATAATGTTTTGTTTTACAAAGTACATTTCTGAGCTTGTCAGGATATGTTTAGGCGAACATGATAATAAGGACATTCTGTTCAGTCAGTCTTACTTGTAACTTGATTTCTAATGGAATTTTCATATCATTTGCGTCATTCATTAGTTCTTTGAACAATATCTAATACTTCTTCGTTACATTTTTATTTGTAAATAGCACAGTGACGTTTTCTTTCCTTATCATCTTTGTTACGTAATAATGCTATACGGCAGAAATTTTTTGAAATTATCAAATGATAGCTATTGTATGAGATGGAGAAGTATGTATCGTTTTTGTATCAGACATTATCGGATATGAACTGATAACATGAATTCTATATCTTCGTCTGAATGGAACCGTTCCATTACGACACATTCTGTGTCTGAACACATAATCTAAACCGATCTTGGTACATATGATACCGAATATATATTAAACTATTTCAATGTTTATGTAAATTATTCTGATGTTAATACCTCTAGTTTTCTAGATAGCAAAATTATTCGAAGATTTATTAATATATCGAAACATTGACCGATAAACATTGTGGTAACATATCTTTATGCGTTTAGGCACTAGATGTTTGGATGGCAGGCTGCATGATGTTTGTATTTGCTGCTCTCGGTGAATTCGTTGTTGTAAAAGTACTCGACTTGCAGTACCAGTTGGAATATGATCTACAATCGTCAATGTCCCGACATTATTCAACAGTTCGTATAGCAATTTTGACATTATTGTCATAAGTACAAGTTAGAGTACCAAAATTTTTCAATACTAAATGTAAATTAATTTATTATCCCTGTACGTTACTATATCATTTAATTCTTGTTCTATCTGCTTATCTCTATACCATTGTATATTATTAATACGCCATTATATTAACATTAAATAATATATCTCTAACTATTTCTCGAAATCTAAATATTTTTAATATTTACCCAATTTTATATTGCATTAAGTCCCGGCCTTGCTTAGATCCTTAGTTATTTAACACCTTATATAGATGCGTGTGTTTTGCAAGGTCAATACTATTAATCAATCAAAGAAGTCTGCGGATTAATGGTTAACAAGAGATTCAATAAATGCGTCAAGTAATACGTTAAATAAAATACAGCAAAACAAAACGTAAAACATTAGAAAATTTGTATTGGATAACTAATAATAAAAGCATACAAAATTATATATCTAATAAGTTCCGCATTATTTTTAGCGTATAGTTGCCATGGAAAAGGGTCAAAGTATTTGGGATTATGACTCAACATATATACCAAAAGCAAGAAATAAAAGAGCTGGTAGCAAACATCTTCTACAAAATGCCTGGCTAGATACTGAATATCCAATGATACGTGTATGCAAAACACGGTCACAAAAAATTGACAATTACAGCAGAATAGGTTTTCCTATACTATTTATGCTGTTCGTCATTTTGTATTGGCCGATACTCTTACTTAAGAAGGCAACGTAATGCTATAGATACATAATATAATTAAATAAAAATCTATAAATTATTATTAGCGAAATTATCACGTATTGCATAGTTTTTCATAATTATAATACCTTAGGGCTGGAAACGACTATATAGATATACTGTACTAGAAATGTATGAAAGTAAATAGGTCTGATGTATTTTTTAAATACATGTTATTTCTTAAATTGAAATATAAATTTAATAAAAATAACAAATAAGATACTAGATGAATTTATTTAAAATTACTATAAAACTTATAAATAAGCTGTACACGTGTATGAAATAGTTCTATGATTGTATTCATGAAATATTTATGTGAATAGTAATCTATTTCTTTATTATTCAGTCTTATCATTAAGACGTTTTAATCAATTTCAATTTCTTCCACCGAAGACTTTCCAGATTCCTCATCAGTTTCCATTAAATTGTCATTGGAAACAGCTTTTTTGGCTTTATAAGCACCAACTTTTTTCAAATAACTCATTGTATACTGATTGAAATCACACCTGTAAAAAGAATATTAATGTTTTTAAACAATAATACGCATAAAAATTATATACTAACAGTTTACTCAAATCATCGTATTTCTTTTGCATATTTTTCTGCAACATTAGCAATATCGGCATTTGAAGAGCCGTATCTATCCTTGGTCCGTGACTAGTCAATATAATTTCTATCCAAAGAAGATAAAAATGTATATGCCTAGTAAATTCCAATTCCGATGCTATGAATTTTAAAACTTTCTCGACATAGATATTGGATAAAACCATTACTGTTAAATCAACTGAAATCAGAGATATAATAAGTATATTGGATGGCTAATATTACATTAATAAACTATTATTAACTTACTATCTGAGCACGGAATATTTTCTATAACGCATTGTATTAATAATTTTTCATTCAGCTTCAGAGCCATCATTAATGCTGAAAATTTCGTTTATTAGTGCATTTTTATTTATTCTAAAGAAATTAAGTTATATATAAATTCCAAACCTTTTGCATACTCCATTTGACTCAAAGCTTTTTTCACAGCTTCTGGTGTAATTCCTAATTCCAATTCAAATGGATCAAATACCAATCCAGCATCTAACGAATATAATAATAATCCTTCCGTCGTTGCCGCAACCCATGCCTGTCCTATATGTAAATACTGGTTTGTTATTAAAATTACGTCATAATAATATTCGGTATAAATTAGAAAATAAATTCAACCTGTTGGAGAAAACTGTAAACTATATACTCTAACTTCTGGTTTTGTATTTCTGCTCGCCATATCTCCACTTCTAACGCCTGGTAATTGTAAATTTATATTTCCTCCTCGTTTTTCCACTAATGCCATGTTTCCAAATTCTGTTAACTTTCGTTTATTTATAAACTCCTATGTAAAAATAAATTTTTATTACAAAAATATTCCCTCCCAGAAAATAGTAAAAATATTATAATTTAAATTTGACATAAAAAGTTACTTACGTCAACTTCATCCAGCGATCTATTCTGTGTTACAACAAACTTTTTTATAAGTATAAATTCTTGTACATTATAAATGCATATATTTTTAGAATTCCCCCCAGCTAATATGCATGTACCATCAGCTGAATAACAAAGAACAGTAAACGCCCTAAAAATTTGATTTAATTAAGGTAATTTTAATTGTACCCAAATTACTTTTATTTCATTATGTATGGTATGTTCATACTTTTAAAAATACGTACTTGCCCTTAAGATTTTGCTTAGCTGTAATAAGATCAGTATTACACCTTCCACTGCCTAGATCATTTCTTCCTTCAATACTACCAATTTGTACCGCTGTTCTACAATTGAAAAATGAAATTTGCCCATCCAAAGTGGCAACTGCTACTTCTTCACCATTTGGTTTGTATGTAACATATAAACCATCAGCAGTTAACTGTATCGTTTCATGTAAAGAACCACTTTCAATCGCATTCCATATTTTCAGTGTTTTGTCCCAAGATACGGATACTAATTCCGTGCTTGTAACACTTGGATTAAATGCCAAACTGGCGACTGGACCTTCATGTCCACTTAATATCTAGTATATAAAATACACAATAACACTTTAGCAAAAATTCTATAAATTTTCGAAACGTTAATACGTTGACCTTATATAAATCCTTCTTAATTTTATTTAATTGAACTTAAATCGCTAATTCTCAATGTGTGCAATTTTAAGATATTTTCCAGAAATATACCTCCAAAAGTTTTCCCAGTTTGACGCTCCACAAATAAATTTCAAAAAAGTCTTGGCCTCCAGCTGCAAGAAACTCATCACTTGAATCTAAAGCAACGCAGGAAAACTGTACGGGTCGCGGAGAGGTAAGAGTTCGAAAATTTCTGTACCTCGCTAAATCATATGCTCTAACAGTTCCGTCAAGCGATGCGGAAACAATAAATTTTCTATTATGACTAAATATCACTCCTCTTATCGCAGATGTATGTTCTTGAAATGTAATAGAACAAAATCCATTCATAGTGTTCCATAATTTAACTTTCCCATCATCACCTCCGGTAATAATGTATTGGCCATCAGGACTGTATGCCAAACAGTTGATATTATTACTGTGGCTTTGTTGCTTCATGGCATAAGTTTCACTTTGCCATTCCCATACTAATAATTGACCAGCTGCAGAACATCCTAAGGCTATCCAGTCACCAGTTGAATTTATGGCAATCGATGTAATATATTGGTCTGATATACTGAAAAATGAAGATTATTAAAAATAAATTACATTAATATTAAAAAAATATAAATACTATATTAAATAATATAACTAATTAAACAATACCTTAGAGAATGTATCATATTTACATCAGGCATTTCGTATAAATAAAATGCACCAATATTGAATCCTACTACTAGGATATTAGTCTGTTGATGGTATGCAGCTGCAGTTAATATTATTTTTACTTTCTTTTTGCTTTGAACTACATTAGCTAGATAATGACGACCCAATTTAGTATAACGTAATTGTTTGGTTTTTGTTTCATTTTCAGAATCTTCTACAATTGGTTCAGTTAAATCTCCTGTAAAACATAATCTGTATTACATATCTTATGTCCTTCTTTAATTTATTTGTATATTAAATACAAAATTATAAAAGAAAAATTACCTGATTTCAATAAATTGCGTTCATGAGCTTTAACCTGTTTGTCTGTTTTCTCTATAGCTTTTTCAATATTAACATCATCTTCTTCATCACTATCTGTTTTTTTGTCTCTTTTAATCGGAGGTACGTTGGATGGCATTAAATCTTCTGGATCAATTGTACACTCCCAAATACACAATTGTCCATTTCTTTATAATATATTTATATCATGTTATATAATGAAATGTTTCCATGAGAATTATATTCTAAATACATACCTGCTAATTGTAATTAAATCATAATTCCTTTTTTCAAAAAAGCATGCTACAATTTCACCAGTATGGCCACCAAGATTAATATATCTGAAGTTTTCATATTTTTCTAAACTGTAAATTTTTGTAGCCATATCTTTAGAACCAACAGCTAATAACTTTGAATCATAAGACCAATTAATAAAAGTTGTGGTATCCGCAGCTGCATGAAATACATGTTCCATAATAAATGGATTATATTCAGCTGTTTGCAAACCAGGTGCATTAAAAACAAATACTGAAAAATAATTGTCATTAATATAATTTTTTAATCAATTTTAATGAATAAATAAAATTAATTATATGTACATGATATATATTACATATCATATGAAAGACATACCATTATTTTGTTTACACACTGCAAAATGTTTACCATCTGGAGAAAATTTTACACATCTTACTGGATGATGAAATTTATATTTATGTATTACCATTTTACTAATCATGGTAATTATATGAGCATCACCCACTATTAGAAAAATTTTTAAATAAAATTATACTGAAATTTTAAGACTAACTTCAATCATATAATATGATATAATTGTACCTGCGTTAATTGCAATTAGTAATGCCCCATTGGGTGATAAATCTATGTTTGTATAATTAAATCGACTCTCCACAGGTAATGTTTGAGACTTATTACTGAAAATAATTTTCATAAAATTATTTCATTTATTATTAGATTAGGAATCATAATTATTCGAATGAAATACTTGAATAAATATTATACTTGCTTTTTTAAGTCATATATCGTTATCCGATTTCCCACTGGGCTAATAACCGAAGATCCATCTCGAGAAAATGTTAAATTGCCTTTACTATAAACTGCGCCCAGCAGATTACTGAACTATAAAAAAAATTTATAATAAGTATAAAACTACATACAATATCAATACTACTACAATATCGAAATATAGTACGTAACAAGATGAGGTTAGGAACAGTACAGATTTCAGTATCCATTACAAAGTTATTATTTCATAAATCACAAATACATTCTTCTTACCTTATATGCAAACTTCATGGTGTTTTAATGTACAAATATACAATTTTTATTACAAATATATTTCAAAATCATAGAACACGTTTAACATCATATTCGTTCGACATCTTATTTGAATCGTGCTTCGTCCATATTATATTGCAACTTCCGCTGTAGCACAACTTCCGCTCGGTGAATCGAATCACGTGTTAAAATTAAGGTGTTGGCTCAACATTTCAGAAACTTCCTATTAAATATTATAACTAATTATAAGTGTAATGATAAAAGCGTTAAATTATTATTTTTATGTATTTCACGTTCCAACGCATGCATATCCAGAAGGATACTGCAAAATACATCATAAGAACTTCTTACAATTCATATGAATTTTACACGAACCGATTTCACGCCTATAATACAAATTTAAACTGAAAATTTCATTTAAAAAATCAAACATGTATTTTCATGAAACGAATGAAACGAAAATAAGCGCCTACGATAGCAAAATGCGTGCATCAAATTGCACGTGTAAGTATAAATCTTTAACTATTCCATATTAATCAAAAGATATATTAATCAAAAGAATATTTAAATTTTATACAATAACCACTTAACTTGAAAAATCATTGTAACTTTAACTAACATTTCCAAAATGAAATTACAAATGTATACATCTCTGTTTAAACGTAGTCACGTGTCTGCGTACATTTTAGTAAAATAACCTCAAAATGCATGATAAATGTTGTAAGGGTAAGTCGGACGGATAAATGAGATTTCGAAAGCAATATTCATTGTATTTCTAGATAAAAGTATATTATAGAAATTAGCATAAGAGATAAATAAGTAAAGGAAACGTATGTCACGCGGTCCGAAAAGCAAAAGCTTGCGCAGTGGAGGTGCGCAGTGGTTCTGTACAGAGCGTATAGCACGGCTGACGTCAGATATAAAAGATGAAAGACGCGACTGGATTCGCTTGGAACGGTGTAGTCCGCAGTCGCGAACCAATAGGAAGGGAATAGACATTACCGAGTTTCGGCAGGCTCTTCTTCTCTCACTCGTCACTCGTCACATGACCCGCACTCCTGTACGGTAGGCCATATTTGACAGTGGCACTAGTTTAGCGAAGTGAGTGCGTGAAGATCGCTCTTCATCCCACGTTCGCGTTTTCGACAACCTGTAAATACTCGTGATCGATTTGACCTACGAGTCTTAAACGCATCAAAATGAGCAGTGAATATTCAGAAGGATCTCCTGTTTATGCTCCCTTTTTCGGAGTAATGGGTGCCGCCTCAGCCATTATATTTTCTGGTGAGTTTCAGTTGTTTGAAATTGCTCTAGAGACACTTGATTTGAAGAGAGCGCGAACTTAATAATTTATGTTCTATATGACAAAGTATATGACACAATTATAGATGAGAGAGTAGCTCAATAAATGTACTCTTAACATTGGCAGTTCTTACCGTACGCACGCCATTTTCTTTGTTACAAACAGCATAAAGTATGGAAAAACAGAATATATCACGATGGATTAACAAATTTTTATTATGTAGTTGTAACAGCCCTCTAGGGAATATCTAATTTCGTTAATCGTTCACGATATGACTCATCTTATTCTTCAGTCATTACCGATAAAAAACTAGATTCGTAGAACAATCAATGAGAATGAACGTCTATTTCCACTATCTCGTGAATATATTTTGATACCGTGTCAAATCTGTCACCCGGTAATATATAATATTAGTCTGCGATACAGGTGCCTTCTAATCTGAATTACACGTCGAACATGTCAAGGATAGAGATTCAATTTTGAAGCGCCATTTTTCTAGGCACGTAGATCTAGGATTTCGTAATGTTCCGTAAATGCAGTCCAACAAGCTTAATTTTACATTACGAGAGAAACATTCGTGCGCCGCGTTTGGACGACCGGGGGATATTGGCTGTATTATTTCGTAATGGTGACCTCGTTGGATACTTTTTGAATAAAAGTCTGTATGAATTGAGTTGACGGGTATGGAAGGCAACTAATACAGAGGATTTACGGGGATCGATGGAAGATTCCACCAGATGCAACTATCGATATCATTATCTATCGATTTAGGTTTTAAATTTGGATAAAACATATTTTCGATAATCTCTTATAATGGAGAAAGGAGAGAGGAAGGCAAAGCATGTTCAAGCGCGCAAACTTAAACTTTGAAGCGTCGTCGGTGGGTCCCTATCAAGGAAATCAATACGAATCCCTTTTACCGTGTGCGCCAGTCTTGAATGGACGGCAACACATGAGAAAAGCTTGACCTACGAATCAGAACCACGAGGAGCTTCGAATGTATGAAAAATTCTGATCTTCGTTCAAACAGAATTATCTCACTTGTCCAGAATACTCTAACATCTCTATGTTTTCATTCTTCCTTTATTATATCTATATACGAGCTACTCATAGAAGCTAAACTGATCAACTCTATCGAGGTTAATTTTTTGGTTTTAAGCAAGTTAAACGACAATCATCTATGTCACCATAATAATTAATTATACTAATGTTAAGAAATTTTCAAAGACTGAAGTTGATCGGTTTGAATTGTCAACGACTTATATAGTTGCATATGTGTGCGTGTGTGTAATAAATTTTCTCTGGACGCTGCTCTCTTCTATTGCTGAAATCAAAAATTGTTTTTGCTAATCAAATCATGAAAATTGAAAGGAAGAAAAGAGATTTTCTGGTTGTGCCACGCCCCCTATTCACGAGATGGGACTTACATGATTATCATGTGACTGCCAACGTGAGAATCATGTGACGATTTCCAGTCACAGCGGAATAATTTGACGACTATTACCTGAGATTTCTCTCTTTCTTTTTTTCTTTTTACCAATGTAAAACCCCAAAATTTTGAGAGACATGTCGACAAAAATAGCTACGGTATCGAATAATGCCATAGAAATGGGTCCGTGACCTTCTCATTAGAGATCAATATTAAACGAGATCGATAGCTCCCGATGGCTAGGAAATATCGTCGACACATCACAGAGATCTGTCAAAGTTTTTATTATGTATTTTGTTGCACGATTATTAAAAGAAAGATATTCAAATAACCGCATGTTATAATATTAATTCCAATCGTTTTATATTCATTCGTTGTTTTTCGATAATTCTTATCTCATATCACATTCGATACATAGATATGTATAAATATCTATCAAAGTATAAAATGCTTCACTTATACTATGGATAAAATCTTCTATACTATGTCTGAGTAACCATGCTTTACTATTTTATTAAATATTATATTGAAACGTATGTATTGTATAATCATAGAATCTTGTATTTAATTGTAATATAAATCTTTAATTGATAAATGCAATTAAAAGTTACTTATTTTTATATGATACCTATTTTACTTCCAGCTCTAGGAGCAGCATATGGCACAGCAAAGTCAGGTACAGGAATTGCAGCCATGTCTGTTATGAGGCCAGAACTTATCATGAAATCTATCATTCCTGTTGTTATGGCTGGTATCATTGCCATTTATGGCCTTGTAGTAGCTGTTCTCATTGCTGGTGGTCTAGAAGAACCTAGTAAATACAGTCTGTACAAGTATGTTATACAAGTTACTTAATTATTCAAATATCCTATAAAATAGTTCAGGTCAATAGTAATGTAACAATTCTATATAATAGGAAACAGATTTATATTTATTCTTTATGTATTTTAGTACTGCAAGTATTATATTTAAAGCATAGATTCATATTATATTGAGGTTTAATTTGATGTTTTGGTTCTTTTGATATATTTGATAAAAAGTATTGTAGTTATCTAAATATTGTGTTGTAGTTATTAAAAGAAATAATTTTCGAACAAAATTAAATACAATTTGATTATGTTATAAGCAGTATTCTAGTTTATTTTCTATGTATTAAGGAATACCTAGGTAGATTGTTACAGACCATAATCTACATGAATTAATTGCTCTAGAAGTCTTAGCAATGCTTCTCTATACATATTCTTACTTAATCAGTTTGGGGCTTACCTAGTTTTAATTCTTTTTGCTTTACTAAATGTTAGTAGTTTCATTTGTAATCAATCACTTTTCTCTTCCATAGTTAACAAGAGATTTTTTTGGTCTTTTTACTAGGGGTTTTGTTCATCTGGGTGCTGGCTTAGCCGTAGGTTTTTCTGGTCTAGCTGCTGGATTTGCCATTGGTATTGTTGGTGATGCAGGTGTAAGAGGTACCGCACAACAACCTCGCCTGTTTGTTGGTATGATCTTGATTCTAATCTTCGCAGAAGTATTGGGTCTCTACGGTCTCATCGTTGCCATCTACTTGTACGCCAAGTAAAATGATTTTAGTAGCAGGAATGCAAGACTCGTCGCCTGCAACCAACAGCGCTCCCCGACTATTAAAATATTACGACTTGTTTCGACATTTTACTTAAAAACATTTTTTCCATACATACTCACATCGACTCATCTAAGCATCCTTCTGTAATACTGTATTCAAGTTGATATATTAGAGTCCAAGCATTTAATAAGTACATATTCATTATATAAATAACATAATTGTTGAAAAATGCTGCAAGCAAGTAACAAGAGTGCTGAAAATCTAATTAATTGATTAAATATTTTGAATTGAAAAAACAAATAATTCAGTCTTGCAGGAAGAGGATGTATGTACAGAAGATATGAAAAGCAACAGGCGACAGGGAGTTACACTGAGGAAAGACCCCAAATATCCCATGTCGAACATTTCTCTTTCACTGTATAGTAATCATTTGTAGCGTAGTTTGACATTGAATTATCAATTAAGATAATCGGCTCTACTGAGTGTATAAAGGAAAAAACTGTTAATGATAAAAGAATATTTAGCACAATTACATATATTAAACGCGATTGAAGTGGCAGTATACAGATTGCAGATGAACGTCTTTTATGACAAACGTCTACATAAAATTATAATATTTAAATCAGAAAGTGGGAAAAAAAAATGCAAGATTGCATGTAAGAAACAGCATAATATGCAATGGTTGTACAAACTATATCTTGAACAAAAAAAAGGAAAGAACGTAGATATTGTACAATCGAAATTATAAGACACAAAGTATAGTATATGGGATGAAATTTTAGAGAGGAAAATGAAATGAATGTGAGTAGAAAATGGACAGATACATGATAGTATTAAGTCAATTCAGAGACTGCTGGACGTATTAGGAATTTGCACTTATTATGGTTTTGAATAATTCTGGGTGACTGCATAGGCCAGCAGTAATTCCCCTCTTTTAGCTGTAAACATACTTATTTCACGTTTCATTAGAAATATATATACATATATATATATATAAGTTAATGAAGTGAAAGGTATGTTAAGACATCACAAAAAAAAAAAGATTCCATACGTTCCAGCAGATGTATGACTACCTAAGAAAGGGGTTACGAGATAATAATGATGAAAAAAATCATTTGTACATTCCATACTAAGTTCGTTTTGTGCAGGCGAGCGGGCGCTTGTAATGGCGCGACAAATGTAGGTTTTTTGGGAAAGAAAAAAAGAACAAATTATACGTTCGATACTTCACATTTTCTTTCGTGACAATGTTTTTAAATAAATATATTTATGGGGTTGAAAAACGATGCAAACGAAACTTTTTTCGGAGGTTCATTGTTATAGGAGCTGACGGTGAACTCTGATATATGTGTTATGGCCTTTTAATCGGCCACCATCTCTCCCCGTAATAAATATATCGTGTCACGGTCGAGGACAAGAATTCTTTGCGCCCGCTTGCCAAATTTTATTGACTGCGCAGTATTTTCTATCTAAAAAACAACAAAGCTCAACATGTAGGCGCATTTCCGGGAGAGAAATAAACATATAAAACACTAAACATTTCAAAACCATTTCAGTTTACGATAATAGCGCATGAAACCAAAAAGATGCGAATCCCATTTCTTCGAATTTATCTGATCGGCAAAAGAAGAAAAAAAGAAACAAATGCACGAGTAATAGGAGAAAAAAATTTTAGCTTTGAGATATCCTTTTATTATTGATTGATTCTCGCTTGAAAATATACCTATATTAAATTGCATTGCTAATAACAGTTTTTTGAACAAATAGGCATTAGAAACTCTATTGCTTTCTTTTTTTTCAAATTCTTAACAACGATGATAGAAAGAAACGGAGTAAAAATGGCGTAAAGGAAATGGAAGAAAAATTGAACATTTTTTGTGAATAATTCGTAACTAGCAGTATAACACAAGTGAAACGCAAATGCGAGCCGGGGAGCGGTGGTGGTGGCTTTCTGCAACGAGATAGAATGAAGGAAAGATAGAGTGATAGAGAGCGCAAGAGCGATCTTCACTTTAAACAAAACACAACTTTATATTCGAACAAAATGCAAAAAAGCACACGAATATATTACGCCAATTACCTCTGTTCCCCCTTCTTCCTGCCATCCTAAATATGTTTCCTATCTATCTAATAATGATAATTAAAAGAAAAAGAAAGAAACATCTGTTATCTAATCATAAATTGTTCCCGTGCAATGTATATATCACCCGCCATGCTTTACACAATACGATTAAAAAGAGTTTTTTAGGCTAGATTAGGTTGGGTATTAATTGTATACCAAAAAATCTTGTGTAGTTGAGAGCGAAAGTAAAAATTGATGTGCAAATAGGCGTGTATGTGTGTGTGTTGTGTGTGCGTGGTAAAGAAAGGAAGTCTGGTGAATGCTAGTGTATGTGAGGAAGAGTGAATGAAAAAGCCCAAAAAGTAAAGAAAGGGAAATAAATGAGAAAAGAGCACTGGCAGATGGAGGAAAGACACCGCTGTCACCGCCGCCGCCGCCCCTCATGTACTATCTTCCAGTGTTATATTAAAAATAGACTCATTGTTGAGCGCAAAAAAGTGATACTGATCAATAATAATTATTTATGTTATAATTCGTCCTCGATGTTACAGAAAAGAAAACCGTGTTTAATAAAAATTTAATTTGGACAAACAGTATCAGTACTCACTTGTGTATCATCGAAAATTTACCTAGCTGTATACACTATATTACTAGCGATAAGAGTAATTAAACGCATGATGACGATCCATTTTTTATCACTGCCATTCAATTTAAAGAACCATGCTTTCTATATTACATCACTGGTACCTAAATCGCGTCTCACTGCAACATTGTTCGATGTTTTACGTGTTCGAAGAAAAAGAAACAAAACCTAGAGAATGAGATAAAGAAAAATTTGTGTAAAAAAGTAGCTGGAAAAAAGAAAGAAAAGTCAATACGATACAGAAGAAAGAATAGTTTTATTGATTTGTCAAAACGTTTTAGTTTTAACCTTTTTTAACGATCAAACGATATTTCATCGGATACTCAATCTTAACATACTTATTCCTCGCTTGTGAATATAAATGATTGTTTACGTAATGTATTCAGTAAACGTTGAAAATTGAATTAACATTGGACGAAAATTACTGTTAAAACTGCATGTGAAGGGAAATGCAAATTTGTTACGTAATCGAACTTGTTCTACAGATAGGAAATTTTATCTATGCGGTCACACACACATATATTCACATATCCCTAAAAACATGTACACACAACCATACATGCATACATACGTGCGCATATATATATATATATACATGTGCTGCGTAGCCGAAGTAAAATCAGGTCGTACTCTAAAATAAATCGATACCCATCTTACTTTCATTTAAAATGGTACAACTATCATTGTTAAGCAGTTTATCAGATAATATAATATAATTTGTTTGAGAAATGTTAGTTGACTTGTATCGAAAGTACATATAAAGCAAGTATTGCTTTAATGATCGATCCTTGCTAATGTAAATACCTTAAAAAAAATATATCAAGATAGAGTCTGTGATTAGTTTATCTTATATTATATTTATATTTCTCCGCGACGATTGTTCAGTTTTATTAAAGTCGTTAAAGTTGGATCATTGATGAGAGAGACCGCTCGTACGCGCGCAACAACAAAAATAAAAGAACAAATTATTATCGCACGCGTCATTTTTAAAACATATCCTATATTTGCATTGTGTTTCATTTGACAAAGTGTTTTGCATCGTGCCGTAGAACGCATACACATAATTTGGAAACGCTGACACGCCAATTAGACTATGTATACATACATGACACATACTTGCCGTATAACGTTTAGCGACAAGTTATGTTCTTTTACAAAATGTAAACTGGATTATCGAATGTCCTCGACACGATAACGGGATTCGCGTAAGAAGGTAACATCTAGAAACGATACCTTTTTAGATAACATTGAAATCCGTTTTTGTTTCATCGATTTCGCGGCGAAAGTCTGTTGTAAAGGGATCAGTAAAAAACAAAGAATGAGCAAAATTTGTTAAAGGTAAGATTATAAAGTAACGTTGTACGAATGTACTCGATATAACTTTTTACAATATGATAAAAGCATTATATTTCGTTTATATATACTATATACTAATGGCAGTTGATAATATGTTACATCAGTTTAATGTAAATGTTATTAACAATATAGATTTAAAAAATTGAAACGCTCGTAGAGAAAGAAAGAGAATTGCTGAAATACCGTCGCGTATTTAGAATTATAGTTAACTATAATTTGTTTATATGTATGCAGAGTTGTGTTTTCAAAAAAGGCTCTACACGTATACCAAATAAACACTGTTTATTAGAGCCAAACACGTGTAATGCTATATTGCATGCAGTAATAATATACACCGAACGCACTTTCTCTTGTATAATATCAAGTTTTTGTTATAGTTATTTATTTCAGTCGAAGTTTTTTTCTCGATAAATCTCAAAATCCCAGAAAATCATCACGTATCTTCATATATTTGTATTATTTGTTTTCATTATCGAATATATATAATATATGTATATATACCTCTAAATGTGCAGTATATAAATAGGAATATTGGTACGAGAAATGTTCTTTTTGAATCATTTTTGAGCGATTTTGCTTTACAAGTCCAACAGTGCTATTTTGTATATTAAAATGTTGACAATTCGACGTTCAAAACTTTAATTTCGTTTACCCTTCTCGCCGTAAATATGTGACGAAAGGAAAGGAGGTAAGTAACAATGGAGGTAAAAAACAGAAATCTTGATTCTTGCGTTGATTAACATTAAACGATCCATTATCAATACGCCTTCTTATGAGTTACGTATGTCGTAAGTTATGGACAAGTATGCGTATAAAAGTCGAGTTTAGTCATGTATTTGGTCAATTAGAATTTTTCCCTGTACGATTATTGTTTCCACGCGAAATATACATAAAAAAGATATCAGGTGACTCATATTCATGAAACATTATAAGTGCTGTGAAAGAGATATCGTCGAAATATCGGTAGCTCATCGTTCCTTCATCATGTTCTTTGACAAATTTCAACGTTCACATGTATAGTGCGAATTATATCGCGTTTACAATTAAAGAATTTTTGTTTATTATGTCCATTATCAACAGGACATTCACTGAGTTGTAATCGTTGGTTGATAAACTCGATTAGATGATGCTTTCTATCTACTACTTATATCGTTTCAATAACATGATATTTTTTTTCAAATGTATTACTCGAAATACATATATTCAGTTGTCAACACGGAATTTAACATAGTATCGCTATTACATATATATATGAATAGTTTTGAAGAACAAAATATACACAAAAAATCGGTATGTCAATTTTGAATTGATCTTTGAATATACATATTGTTCGCTTTTATATTATATAGTATGCGATAGAGATAGAATATTCACGATGTCTCAGAAGTCCATGAGATGATGAAGATAAACGTGATTTATACAAAAGTAGATTGTAAAGCAATATACGTCATTGTAAATAGAGATTCTTATGTTAGTAAGAGGATGTATGTATGTATATACATATACACACTGTACGCATTTATTAAAATTATCACATGAGTATAACAATGGTAATCGAGAGAACTAAATAATGAGAAAAGGGCGTAAAGTACCATTTTGATATTTTTATAAGATTATTTAGGTAATAATTTAAAAGTACGACAAAATAATGTCATATACTGTGATAATGAAGTTAATGCAAGATGAGGAAAGAAATTTTTTTGAAAATTATCATGAAAAAATTTAATACTTTCGTAAATTTTTTGCTAACCGTGAAAATGAACAGTGAATGGTGAAAGAGAGAACGACAGACACAAAGTCGTAAAGATGATAATCCTAGGAACAAATTTTATTGATAAAGATAAAAGAGATTTCTTATCAGTTTAATGTCTATGATCAATTAAAAACGATTATAATGTAGTCCATTATGTGAGAAATAATACTGACGATATTATACATGATTCGTACGTTGCATTATTTGTTTTTTTTTTTTTGTTCATTTTCAATTAATTTATAATTAATATACGTGGAAAAAAATAAATTAATAAAGTTGAAGTACAATATCGCATGTTACATAGCAGCTGAAAAATTGAACAGTACTTATTGATATTAATCATTTACTAATTATTTATGTAGATAATTATTTTTTCTTATTTTTCATGTTCATAATAAGAAGGCAACAAACAAAACACATAATTATACCACAAATATTCATTAAAATATTACACTAATGTCACTATTAAATATATTCCACGTACAAAGAATATTTTCAAATTAGTATTAATTTATCGCAGCGAGAATTAAGTCATTATCTTTGAGAATTAAATAAAACAGTAAATGAATACACATCTGATACACACGATTTGAATTAAACGTATCGAGAATAATGAATTTATTTTTCTAGAGCGAGTTTTCAATTAATTTGTGAATAATGCGTACCTACGAAAAATGTGTATTCAAAAAAGAAATAAATTTAACAATGATCGATTCAACATAAGTATTTGGACTGACGACACTCTGGATGCGAACTACCTACTACATGGTGGGAAAAAGATGCAGTTTAATTTAAATTCTTTAGTACGACAACAAGAATTAGGGGGCGACTTAGCAATTAACAATTTTTTTTAATACGTACATTATCCTGGAATATTATCGATAAATAATTAAAAAAAGAAAAAAGTATCCAAATTCTTATGTTTAATTAATTGGTGTATAATAATAATTACGTACAAGGAGGCTTAACAAAATTAATTCGATTCGAATGTGCTATTGGGAAAGCAAAAGTCGATGGATTAATTTCTAAATTAATAATATCTGTTTTCTTCTTTCACCGATCATGAGAAGCTGCGATATTGCACTAACTTTCTTTTAGGCGAACTTATGGCATCGTGTCTGAAAGTTACGCACTAATTAAAAAAAAATATTGTATGTCGATGGGTAGAATTCTAATTAGGAGAGACTATAGGCAGGAAAAGAAGGTAAGGTGGCTGTTGGTTCATCGACAGAACAACCAGGGGGCCATCTGTAATAAATTACACCAAGGTATGTTTATTTTTAAATACGATTTAGTCGTGTCACTAAATTCTTTTTATGTTATGTTACGTTAAAGTGAATTGTGATGTTGGCTGCTGGTTGCTTTGATTAGTATTTTAGAGTAGAATTAATGGAGCAGCAAATATAGGTACATGGACAAAAATGGTGTTTGGTTGATTGGTGTGTGTATAAGTTTGACTCAGTGTTTTCCCGTTTTTTCAAGATCTACAAATTCAACTCAATTTTTTTTCTTTTTTTTTTACCTTTTAAAGAGAATTAATTAGTCGCACTTTATATATTATACTACTGAGTCAGTCCTCTGTTTCTGATGGATATCTTTTTCTATTTCTTTAGGAAAAGTAGATGTATTTCGACTGTTGTGATGAATTATATAATAGTAATAATAATATAATAGTTAATAATAGATAATAATTCCTCATAATAAATGTAAAAGCTGGTACACAGAAATAACAAGCGACTCGCTGGTGACGCGGACAAAAAGACTTACAAAAACGTGACACATGCACAATACTAGACAAAAACTTTGACAACACAAATCACCAGACTAATTTTTTTCTTGTTTCTTTCTGCACCGATGTTCATACAGCGGCGAATGTTGATACATCTGCTGGCCCAATATGATAACAAATCATATCAATATTCAATTATCTAAAACATTCTAAAACTTCTTCCTTAGAAAGTCTGCTGCAAACCACTCGATGGGTTGCAAACTATATGTTTTCCGTATTTTTTTTTTTTGTGGACATGATTGTAAAGTCCTTTTCTTCTTTGTCTTCTTCATCTTCTTTGAACGAGGGCTTGACACAGACTAACAAGATGTTTGTGGCAATAGATGGAGACAACTCAATTAGTAAACTGAAACCGCCTGGTCCAGTAATATAGATAGCAAAACCCTATTCCAAATTATAGGTAACTGGAAGAACGTATTGTTCTCACAGTTTTTGCATTCTGTAATTTTTATTGTTGTCTTCATCGTCATTATGATCATCACTTTCCTCTTCTGTTGATGCAGTATCTAACCATGTTAACCAACTGTTGACCTACACCATTTAAACATTATTAATTAATACATGTTTCTTTAAGTTTAGTTTGTTATCATGATATAAATTACTAATCACATGTTAAAGAGAATAATTATAGTTATGAAGACAAAAAAAGTATATTGGTATTAAGAAGATTGGGCAAGAGTTTCATAGAAATTGTTATGCAATTAAGTGTACTTTTTATAGCACAGGAGCATTTCACCAATAAAAAATACTGATCATATTGTACTGTATAATATTGTGCTAATTTGTAAACATACATAAAATTTGAAACATTAATGTAATATTATGAAATTTGAAGTCCTATTTACCTCAAATAATGCTTTACCCTTGCCCGGATAAGCATCAGTAACACATTCTTTCCATTTGAAATAGGCATCTTCTTCAATCACTTCTAATCGGTAA